ATAGTAGCACCTTGTGTGAACTCAAGGTCACTTCTAATATGAATCACTGCTTTCATTGTATACTTGAAACTATTTACAATTTGTTAATCTTTGATACGTTGTTTAAGCAGAGTATTCATAATGAATCTAAGTTTCAAAGACCAAACTACACCACACACACTAACCTGAAGACGAAAGACTTTTGAAACGTCGTCCTCTACACTTGTAGGTTTCTACAAAGACAGTTGCTGTCCATTTCAAACTTGGATTCATTGTAATTTGTTCTCACTATATAAAATCACCATAACCGAAGTGGTTCAACATCCTGTTTATTGAACAACATCGAGAGACAGTAGTACATTATTTTCATCTAACGTGTTTTTAATAAATCACTAAGTCTTAGAGAAAAACATGAATATGTTTCTTAAAATAAGAGGCAAAAATATATACTTCCCTAAATCATTTAGGGTTGTTTTTTTATATATATTTATATATATACCAAGTTCTTTAAAATAGGCTTAACAAAACTATAAAATTTCCAATTTCATGAAATTACTGGCAAGTTAATACAGAAGTAAAAACAGTACTGACCACATGGGCCAAAAATATGAGTGTTAGGTCTTTTTGTATTTTCGTTTATTAGCAACTGAAGAAATAAAACATTACTAAAAAAAATGTATATGTCAACCATCAATTTTCACAACGTAAAGCGGACTTCAATACACATAGACAATATTTTCAACCCTCCCAACCCTGATGACAGACGCTAACTTCTGTTAATCACTAATCACAGAAGATTAAGGAATGTGATAACACATTTAAAGCTCGTCTCTCTTTTTCTGGTCATCATCTTCACCTTCTTCTTCCTCTTCCTCCTCCTCCTGACAAAAAAACAAAACATTATCAATACTTGAATAAACGTCGATGGAAAATGTTCTTGGTGGGGTTTGTGGGGTCAAAACCCCTTTACAACTAGTAGTAACTTACTGCATCATACTAAGTGATCTCGTTTTTGACTGTTATAAGATTCAGTGTAAAGGATCTGACCAAACTTGGTAAAATCACACAGAAAGTTTCAGTGAGTATTACTCAGACTGATGGTATCTGTTTATACTCATGTTATTAGAAGTATAAAGAACAAAATCACGAATCTATGTACACTTTGGTGAATAGGTAGTTTATAAAACTGATAGGACTTCAGCTATAGTTCGGAAGTGAATGGTGTAACGCTATATTGCTTGATTTATTGAAGGAGTTACATCATTAACAATCTTAATGACGTTATTGTAAATTTAAAAACACAAATTAAGTTTAAAAACAGTATATAATTTATGTTTTATTTAGTAGTTCAATAAGATGGTAGTAACAGTTCAAAGTTTTATTACATCGGATACAGTTTACTTAAATACAATAATCTTGTTTATTTAGTCTTAAGAATGATATATTATTGATTAGAATACTTGAAATATTACTCTTAAAAAGCATTTTATAACGGAAACAACAGCTTTACACCTATACAGTTTGGTCCACACAACCAGTTACGGAAACAACAGCTCTACACCTGTACAGTTAACATACCTCTAAATAAGTAAACCTTTACACCTGTACTATTTTGTTAAAAATGACCAAACGATACATGTGTAAAGCTATTGTTATGTTTGAGCCACAAATAGAGACTACATACAGAACTACAACACATCTGTAACCAGATTTATTTAAGAACTGGCTGCCCTGAACTGAGGTAGTTCAAATTTCTTTCGTACGGTTATTTGCAACAGTATTTATTCAGTCATAGCATTGTCTACATTGAGGTGATTAATGCAGTTTCTTGATGTGTTTTTGGTAAAGAATCATTCTACCAGTCAGAAACGTTGATCACATACATGTTTGAATACAACAGTGATTATTACCTTACTTACCGGTGTGTAAAACGGCCCCGAATTTCTTTGAGGTTCAGTGTATAGGACACCTCTATTTTTAAGTAAGTCTAGGATGTTACTTTTGTAAAGAAACTCTCGTAAGTTATTTTTAAACCGTGTCTAACCTACGCTCTGGGGTAATCAATACAACCACAAGCGTGGTTTTTCAATGCGACATAGCTTCAGTTACAAACATGTAAGAAACAACTTTACAAAGTTTTCATCACAGTTGGACTCCTTTTCTGTCACAAAAAAAATACTAAATCTTAAGATATAAAAACATGTTTACAAAATTATTGTATGTTACAGAAACTAATCTTGTTTGATATAACATTAGCAATGTTTTAATACATTTCAAATAAAAAATGTCGTGATTAATTGTAACTAGCATGCGAGATAAATAACTTCTAGTTATGAAGAATCAGGACTAATGATACAATTATAAATATGTCATTGTACCCCGGTAGGTGGCACGATGTTAATGCACTTAAGAAGAAGAAGAACAAAAAAGAAAAAAAAGAGCAAACAAAAGTAAAATGAACTCTGAGGCAGAAGAGTCTTGTTACTGTATTTGCTGGTATATAAGACCATACTTTTTACTCTTAAAACAATGCCTGATTTTACTTCTCGTCTTATACACAGGTTCAAAGATAAGTTATGGCCTCAAGACATGAATGATTTTAGCCTAACTTAAAACATATCAAAGGTTTGTGCTATTAAAACAGTCTTTAAATCTATTACACTTAAGATTTTTTGTTTGCCCTGATGATCAAAACTTATGGTTGATACATTTCTTTAAAATATTAAAATAAAAGCTTTTGTGAATCATTTTGAAAATCTAATTATAAGTGAAAGTCAGTCCGAGTTTCAAATTAGTGCTCCGAGTTTTGATTGTAAGTATTCAAAATTCGGTGTTCTTTTTTTTATTTTTGAATTAGTACTATAATTTTATGGAAAATTAACCATTTAATATTTTCAAAAGACAGAAAATGGCATGTTATTGTGTTTGGATACCAAAAATGAGATAGGGTTGGAACAAAATGTAAGAGAATTCTAAATGAATATTTTTGATTGAGCTTATGTATTAGATTCTTTTATTATCAGAATAGCAGAGATTTCACCAATATCTTGTTGTGAACTATGCTTTTAAACATCTAGAAGTCTGAATTGTTGGCTATAGACAGTTCTAGAATCTGTACCATGTAGTATTGAACGTTTGGGGAAGATGTAGACAGAGCCGGAACATTTTATGTTAGGAAGGTTGAAGTGCTTATAGAAAAGTTAAAATACTTTAAATTCTAATGCAAGTTAACTTAATCCTGATGAAGAAAGGGTTTGCAGGATATACACAAGATGCTGTTCTTTTATGTTTGTCATGAGAATGTTTCGATATTACCATTATTTAACATCTACCATCAGATCTTACTAACTTTGTGGCCTATTTCACCAATACATAAAGGGTTGGAAAAAATTATACAGTAAATGATAGACTTAGACAGACAGACTTTAGTTAGGATTTTATCTACTGTTTATTTGTAGAAGTTGTAATTTTTAAAATTCATAACTGGAGTTTAAGCAGAAAAATTGAACTTTTCAAAGGTCAAGAATTAGTGTTAATGAGTATGTAATTGAAATGGTAATTTGAATTCTTGACAAGTGTAATTTTCAAAATTTCTATAGCAGTTAAAAAAATTCAGACAAATATTAATTAATCAAAATTTTTAACTTTATAACTTATCTAAAAAAATTAAACAGATTATGATCACATTCACTGCTTCTGTCATTTGCGATTTATTCTCTAATATCAAATATTTCAAAATAAATACAAGATGTCTAGAGAGGCTTGCTTTTACCCTCAAGAGTGCCGTTCTAGTGAACCCTGGTTGTAACAACACAGTTGTATAGCATCTAGACCACTCATGGTGAGTACAGCTTTAGGGGTATGTGAAAACTGGGGCAAGAATACTTAGCCCCCATATTTCCAATATGGTAATGTAATATTACACTTGGACCAGGTATAATCAGAAGAGCCCCTGGACACAAAAGGTATTAGTCATGTATATCCCACAAGCTGGGACCGACTGGGTCAGATGGCCACTGGCTGTCCCCACTTTAATACCAGTAAAAGTTCTTTTACCACATTACTCACAAGCTGGGACCGACTGGGTCAGATGGCCACTGGCTGTCCCCACTTTAATACCAGTAAAAGTTCTTTTACCACATTACTCACAAGCTAGGACCAACTGGGTCAGATGGCCACTGGCTGTCCCCACATTAATACCAGTAAAAGTTCTTTTACCACATTACTCACAAGCTGGGACCGACTGGGTCAGATGGCCACTGGCTGTCCCCACATTAATACCAGTAAAAGTTCTTTTACCACATTACTCACAAGCTGGGACCGACTGG